AGATGAATTAACAGAAAATGTGATACTAGATACAGTTTTGTTGTTGTTATATTTGTCAATATGTTGAATTAGGGTTTTGATAGTTTGACATAAGGGAGAAGTGGTAAATAATAATAAAGAAGGAATTTGTTAAAGCATGTATGAAGATCATAGGTGATTAAAGATGTTGTAAATAATCTTTCAAAATTGTTTTCTACAGGGTTGATCACCGTATGCTCAGCTCTCACAGCTATGCAAGATAACATAGTCTGCCCTGTACATTGGGTCTGACCATCATTATTCTGGCCTTCCACATAAATAGGCTTGTCCACTTGCCTACTTATATTATTTTCCTTATTAACTACAATGGTTGTATCTTTTAATAAGGTAGTAGCTACTTCAATGTATATTGTAAAAGACAAAGAACTTAAAAAAGAGATTATAAAAAAAGGGAATCAAGAATGGAAACAGGTTGGAAGTCTAGATCGAATTTTCTTACTAAAAATTTCTCAGCTCCTGGATAAGTAGTATCATTGAAGTATTTGACAATTTGTAAGTATATTGATTTTTGATTTTTACAACATCAAACTAGGTAATAATTTGGGTGAGAAATTTAATATTGATAATGTTTTTGATTAGTAAATTAATTGCCTCTTCCTTGGAGAGAGATTGTATATTGTGGTTTTCTTTAGCAGTTTGGTAATATAAAGAAAGATAACAGTAAAAATAATAATTACAATATTTGGGATTTGTTTTGACTTTGTTTTGTTTACAAACAAAATCTTCAGCCTGGTCTGCTAATTTGTCAAGGGCTTTAGTAGAGATGAGTTGGTCAAGTAAGATGGCATGTTCTTTGTTTTTATAGAAAAGTAAAGTATTGAAGCTTGGATGGATCCATGTTTCATCATCTTGAGGAGGGAATATTAAGCAAGATTTGCTTAATATGTCCTTAAAGATTTGGTACTGTCATGAAATTTTTTATCATCAAGATATGAACATAATTTGTTGTCACAAGTAAGACAATAAAAGTTAGCAACACGGGATGCTTCTTCATGTCGTTCATGAAGTGAATTAGGTTTTTTGAAAATATAAGATTCAGGAAGATGTATAGAAAGTTGTAAGATAAAGTATTGTTGGAATTGGATTCTAAGAGATGTATAGACTTTTTTTTTGTCAATACTAGAAGAGAATTGTTAACTGTAGAGAGGAAAGTAGGTTTCAAACCAAGAATTAAAGTGGTCAAGTAAGTTTTTAAGGGAGGGGATGCAGAATCTTTTAAGAATAGTGTTTTAGGAACATTGAAAAAGAACTTAATATTGAATCTAGCATCTGACTAGATGGTAAGATATTTTTAATTAAGATTGGTAGTTTGAGTAAAAGATTCAATTTTGAATCTTTTAGGTCTGAGTTGTAAGTCTTTAGCAAATTTTTGGTAGTCAATTGATTTGTAGTTATTGGATAAGAAGAGGTTAAGTCTTGCAAGATTAAGGCATAGTTGGAGATGATTATAAGCAGTATATAGAGGGATTGTGACTAGTGAGACAAAGATTTCAAGATAGTTAAGTTTTGTAAAGAGGACAGTTGTAAATTTGAGAAGTAGGTTTTTGAGAGTCGATTCAAGAAGATTAAAAGGAATAGTAACACTTTTGTCAATATTAGAATTGTTACTATAGATGAGATCAGTTAAGAATTCTGGCCGTTGCCTAGTCATAATATGAATAATGTAATAAAATGAGGCCTTAAGTGCAGGTTGAGTAGAGGTGGCAGACTTAATTTCTTTATTGAGATAAAAATCATAAAGAAATTTTTTGAGAAAAGTAAAGAGTTAGAGAGAAAAAGTGGTTTGTAATTTTTTGTTAGCTTGTATTTCTTCAGTAATTGGGAAATTTGTAAGCCAGTCATAAGTGGAATTAGATTCTGGTTTGGCAACACTGAAATAGGTTTGGAGGGGAGCTTTGTTAGAAGTACTATCAGGTGAATTAGTATTATTAGAATTATTAAGATTTAAGTTCATATTATCAGAAATGTTAGTAATAGAAGGTTGGTTAGAAATAGGGTTAGTATTGGTAGATGTAGTAAAGAAGGAATCAATAAGATCAGAAGAAATTGAGGTTTGTTGAGAAGAGGTAGTAAAAAAATTAGTAGTTTGAGAGAATTCATGTAGGATGTTTTAAAAGATTTGGGTAAGATTTTTCTTGGTTTGAGATGAGCTAGCTTTATGTTGAGATGAGGCAATCATGCAGATAAGATAGTAAACTTCATTATTTTTAGTGACATATTTTTTATTGGAATAATGATGGTCATTTCTCTTGGTACAACCAATTGGCAAAGAGCATTTAGGACAAGTATAATAATATATATCAGGTGTAGAAGATGAAGAAATATTGTCGATTAAGGAGGAAAGATTAGTTAGAAGTTGTTGAGCTGGTTTGTTAAGATTCTTTTTAGTATTACTATTAACATAGACTGTAGTAAATTCAGTGACTTGAATATGATTAGTATTATAGTAGAGATAAATTTGGTGTGATATTTGTCACAGAGATAAGTAATTATAGAGCTAGAAATAGGAGCTTGGAAAAAATAAGTAATTTTGTTATTTTTAAGATTTTTGATTAAACAAATAGTTAATTTGATTTTAGGAAGAATAGAGTAAGCATTATTACTATTTTCTTCTTCATAAAGGACAATTCCAAATCTGTTAGAGAAGTTTTGGTAGAAGAAATCGAAGTCTGCAGTATCAGGCTCTTAGCTACTTAATGTAGGCATTTTTAGATTTGTTATAAGTTAAATAAGATTGTATTAAAAACTTAGAGAAATTTATTGTAGTTGGATAGTTGATTTTACAAGGGTTGTATAATTGAGATATTACAAAAATCACACTGGTGTGTAACTAGAGTGGTTGGGGTTACAAATATGACTTGGGTACTAGTACAAATAGAGTTTATAATACAAATTGCTGTGTACAATTAATAAGAACCAAATATGAAAATAATTGATTGTGTTCAATGAATTTCTATTAATAGATGGGTTACAAAATTCTGGTATAAATTAATAAAGTATATATTGGGAAATGATAGTATGGTTTTACGAAAATCATGTAAGAGAAAAAGGGGATGAGATAAGAACAAAAAATAGAAAAAGAGTTTAACAAAAGAGTAAAAAAAAAATTTAACTGTAGTTCAGTCAATATTTAGTCAAAATTCTTTTTTTAGAGTTTGTTTTGACAAGACAAGTGTGTACTACAACTTTAATTAAGGGTATAAGACAAGTTATTATAATAAAAACTGAGAAAGAGTTAATTTTCTAAAATTGAAAACCAAAAGCTGTCAGTACAGTTTTCTCTATAAGTTTGAGAGATATAACTATAATATTTTCAGAATATATGTAAGCACTGAGCTGAACAAGTTTACTTAAGACACCAGGACTGGTTGTTTTAGTACAATAAAAAGTTATAAGAGTTTTTAGACAGGCTATTTTTTTGTTAATTTTTGTGCAATAGATTTGCAGAAAGAATATGAGCTATCATTTTTTTATATAATATATTAAAATATTATTAAATAATATAATTTATAATTTTATAAAAATATATTAATATATTAATTAAATATTATTCATATATTAACTAAAAATTAATTATATATTTAAAAATAATATTTTATAGTTTTATTAGATAATATATTAAAAATATTTAATTAAAATATTAAAATATTTTTACAATTATTACAATATATTTTTATATAATATATTAAAATATTATATTTGCTAATAAATAATTAATATTTAAACTAAATATTAATATATTTATAAATTATTAACTAAAGTAATATTTAATTTTTAGACCAGTAAATGATCTCAAAAATACTATAACTCCATATCTTGAAAATACTTATATATTCAAAATTACAACACATGTAAGTATTGTTAATACTATTTGTATTGAAAACTTTATTTTTGTAACTTTTAATTTATTTTATTAAAAAATTATGAAGTAATTCAAAAATATATTTCTAAATCTGATGAATTCTCTGGACTGCTAAATTGAACATTTGAATCCAATTAACTGGTAGAAATCTAATTTTTCAAACAAGTTTCCTTATGTAGTTGAACTTGTCTGTCAAGTTCTTTTACTTCTTGCTTCTTCAGCTGCCGCAAAATGTTGTTAGTCAAACTTTGGATTTATTCATAATAAAAGGTATGCATGCTTAAACAATTATCGAGTAAAAAAGCTTGTAACTATTTATTAAAATCTAAGAATTCAAAAAGAAATTAAAGATGATGGTTGGTTCAATGATGATTTATAAATTAAGCATTTATTACTAGAAAAAAAAAACCAGAATTATTGAAATTAAATATTCTCAATGCTTTTACTTTAATTCTTAATATAACTTAAATTAAACAATTATTAATGTAATTTTTTTTAATTATTTGTAATATTTTTACATGTCGTATTTATGATAAAGGCAAGAATTGAAAGATATATAATATCGTTATAGCTATTTTTAAAGTTGTTTCGATCTAAAAAATAAGCGCTTAACTCTAGACCCAAAATTTACTGGCCAAAATGCAATAATTTTAACTTCAGTTAAATTTCAACATCAGCTTTGATGTTTTAAAACTTTTTTTAAAACAATTAAAAACATATAAAAAATGTTTTAAAACGTTTTTTTACCATCCCTACTTCGGGCACTTGTAATCTCAAAAATCACACTATACTCACACCGGGTGAAGGATCAGTGGTGTAACATCAACGGTTCCTCCTATTACTGTATATTCGATAAAACTCTAATTGATGTTATCACAAGGTTATAAACATAACGATCATTTCCATATTTTTTGTTAGCAAAAAATGGTTGTTTATATTTAAAAACATCATATGACAACTCCGTAACTCCATGCATTGTAATGAAGCAATTAACATAGATTGGTATATTATCCAGTTCTCAACTGAATTACCTTTGTTTTAAAAAAAAGAGAAAGAAAGAAATGGATGAAATTAAAGATTGGCTCATTAATTTACCATTCTGCACAAAATTTTTGGTTTCAAATGTTGTTCTCATAACATTAACATTGACTATGTGGTCACACATTCTTATCATTTATGAATTACAGAAATTTAAGGTGTGTTTTCGTGTAAAAACTCCTTAATTTTATTTATTAACTAAATAAGACTATATTCTTTAAATATTTCTCTAGTTATGGAGATATTACTCGTCATTTTTCCTTTTTCCACTTAGTATTAACGGAATACTTGAGTTATATCTCTTATGTTATTTTTCTAAAGACTTAGAAACTGCAAAATTTTCAGGAGTAACAGCAGATTATGTTTGTTACCTTTTATTTATAGTTTTGACAATAACTGTATCCTTTGATATGGCAAGGATAGTGAATTTATAGAATATCTTCATTTAATTCATTCATTCGAAAAAATAACTACTTTTAAGAATTCTCCTTAATATATTATCGTAGATACAAAGTTATATGTGGCCAACTTTACCATATCAAAGTTATATGTGGCCAACATTACTTTATCAAAGTCTTATGATAGCGATCATATACACTTGGTCTTTGTATCGCAGACAAACTAGTATAAATATTATAAATTTTTATAATGTTATAAGTTTTAAAGTATGGTTTTAAATTGTAATTAAACTCTTTATCAAAATGTAAATTTAATTATTAACAAAAAAATTTTTTGCCTGCTATAATAGGCAGTATATTTACCATTTATAATATTATTATTAGATACATGCTATTTTCAATATATTCCATATGACGTATTAGCAGGAATAATTGCAAGCCATTTATATTTTTACTTAAAAGAAAGATATCCTGCGGCAGATGGTAAAGGATTATTAAATACCCCAAGATGGTTATATGGAATATTTCCGGATTCTTATTGTTCATCAAATTTGTCAAAACCAAGGATTGATATTAATTTTAGATTTCGATTTTTAACGTGGGGTTTATTTGATTTAATGGGTATAGTTCGTATATTGAATATACGGGAAAGGAGGTTTAGGTACAGGAACGAAAGATGGGTTTAGAAGCAGGACAAATCTTTAAATTTATTAATTTTTACTGAGTTATTTATTTTATATTTGTTTAAGTTTAGCATAAATTTAATATAAATAAAAAGCACATTATTATTTCTTAGATAATCCATCAAATGGTCTGATCGGTTAAATCCTTAACCTCGATGCCTCCATTTTATGTTCTAAAAAAATAATTTTGGTTTTAAAAAAAATGTTTTTTGGCGGTAAGAGGTTTTATTTCTTGTAATACCTTCAAAACATACAGTTACTTGGTTACTATTTATTTAATCTATTAAGATCGCATTCTCATTAAAGCGAAATTAAATTCAGTTTGTTTGCTGACCCTCTTTTAATGAGTTCCTTTTGAAAACTTATTCATGAAATAAAAATTAGAACTTGGAAATCACTAATCATTAAACACCGTGATAATTATTCTTTACGATAATACCAGGGTACCAAAAATTTAATTACAATCAAGTAAAATTGCTATAAACGAATTAAATTTAAATTAAATAAGCTACTCGATCGTACGTAACAAGTCTGGTTACAGTCACATGTTCGATCGATCATCAGGTCAAAAGAAAGTATGTGATCAGTAAGCAAGTGAAATTGATTACACACCCCTACAATAAAATTACCGGACTTTGGCGCAGCACAAATAAGCTATAGATATGACAGATTCGCCTTTTCAATTCGTAATCAGACTTACCTATAAATATGACCCGAGATTGTTTCTATAATAAATATGCATGGAAAAGAATTGGCATATGAACAAGGAGAACAAATAATTGGTGCTTATCTTGCGGGCTCAAAAGCTTTGAAAATTTCTGCTGCACTAACAACAAAACCATGCTTAGAGTATATGTATTATATATGGTTTTGCTGTGTACTCACCCATATGATACAATAAATCAGTATAAAAAAACTGGTTCTCCACATTCAAAAAAACGTTCTGGTTATCCAAAAGTATTTTCCCCTTGTGATCTATGTGCCTTGTGAATAATTGTTTTGAAAGACAGATTTTTGCCTTTTATTAATATTACAGGCAAATTTAATCAAATATTTTTATTGAATTACCAGCCCAATACTATCTGTAAATATCTTCATATTCTTGGTCTAAGAGGTTGTACTGCTTGTAACAAACCTCTTTTAATATATAAATAAATGTGGAAAGAAAAATGATAAGTTTAGGTTTACTTTATTTAAGTCAGATAAATAAGTAAACGTATGGAGAAGACTAGACTCTATAAATTGTATTAAATCTACTGTTAAATTTAATAAAGAATCTGTAATATTTTGGAGATACATTAGTTGGGTCATTAGTAGTAGTTAGAAAAATTGTGAATTCGACGTCCAGCATTTAATACTGTAGATCTATAATGATTCAAATTTAATTTTTAATAAGATTTAACTTTATGTTATAAATCTGCTTATATATTTTGGTGACTAAAAATATATAATGTTCTTGTTTTAGATTGGGTTTCACAAGTTCAGATTTAAACTCAATCAAAAATTTGTGGAATTATGTTGATTATCAAGTTTGAAAAAGAAGATTTTTGCAAAATTTAAAAATAAATTTAATTAAAGCTGTGTTAGAAGAATGAACAAATAGATCTATTAAAACTTTGCATTACTTAATTTTAAGTATTTCTAACTGAGTTAATATCATTTGTAAAATTAGAGACAGACATTTTTATTATTGATTTTTTTTCTATTAAAATAAAATTAAATATGTATTTATAGTTTTTTATTTTATTAAAAATTTTTAATAAACAAATAAATAAAAATCAAAGTTGAAAACTTGTGTCTTGTATTGTTACATTATCAAAGTCTAGTAATTTATTGTAAAAATATCTATAATCAAATTTTTTTCTGTAAACTCAACTTTTATTCTGGTTATATTGATCTTTTTATCAAACCTGTATTAGATTAATGCAATTTGTATAACCTGAAGAACAGAAAACTTGTATAATAAAAACTGTAAATATAGAGACATGGCAACATAGTAAAGTGGTTATGTTGTTAACTTCTAAGTGGCAAATCTGGAATTCAAATTCCAGTGTTAGCAAAAATTTGAAATCCTTTTTGTATTATAGTTAACTGTTTTCTACTATTAATTGGGATCAGATATTTGTTATCTGTATTATACTAGCACAACTGAAAAGTTACATAGCATTTATGTAATGGTTGAACCTTATACAAAGAAACACAAACCAGTACTAGGTAATGTAAAACTATGATAAGTCTCTGTGGTCATGTAAATTACAAAAACTAAAAAGATAAAAGCCTACTTAGAAGACCTAAATAGAAAGCTAGTTCAAATTTTTAATAATGTTACTATAAAGACTAATCTATAAAATAAAGCTAGAACTTGTAAAGTCAAATAAAAAATACAGTTTTTAAGAAGAAGTTATTGTAACCAGTTAGGTTACTAGAATCTATTTCAGAGAAAAAAGTTACATGCTAGACAATATATAAATTAAAAATATGATTGTATCTATTTTTTAAACTATCTAGACTAAAAGATTGTTGAAACTTAAATTGAATACCAAAGTAGTAAAGATATATTGTAAAGTTAATATTAGAGATAAGATGAACTTTACAAGAGCATAGCAATTTAATGATACACCTATATAATATGTATTGGTTTTAGTTATAGCATTACCAGGTCAGCTATAAAAATAGAATACAGAAAATTCTAGAAGATTTAATACAAGATCAAAGGTTTTTTATATAAGTAAACTACTTTAAAGACTTAGTTATTATAATATATATTTACTAGTATCAACTGGAATTGTTAATAGATTTAGGTAGTTAAGTGAATATAGAAACTAGAGTATTTAAATTAAAAACTTATAAACAGGTTTCAGATATAGCAACTAGTATAGAACCTTTAAATAAACAATTAAATTAGATAATAAATAAAGTTGTACAAGTGACTAATTATATATTCTTTCTATGATTGCTCCCTGTAGTTGTAATGTAACTATTAGTTGAATATACTATTAATAAAATCTTAAGTTACAAGTACTTATTTTAATATTTAAAAAAAAACTGTAAATGTGATTTGTTGAAAAGATAGTCATATAGAATTTAGATAGTCTGTTAAAATAATAGTTATAATATTAAAAAATAAATTAAAATAAATAGATAAAAAATTTATAAATTGGTTTATTGTAATAACAGTTATTATTATTTTTTTTTTGGTATTAAGGTGACCTCTTTGGTCTTTTGACTTTTATTAATTACTTATTGGTATTGTTGTTCAATGAACCAATACAGAAGAGCATACAATTGGCTACACATATAACTTTTCTATATTACCTATTTAAGGAGTCTGCCCGAAGATTTCCCACCAATTGTTGTACCTAACACCTCTGCTTGGGTGTTCCACTTTAATCCCTCTAAACCTGTAATCTGTGTTAACATGACTGGTTATTTTAGATGTACCAGATCATTATCCTTAACCTTAGAACTAATTTATCTTTGAGGTAAACCCCTCAGAATCTTCTGTACCTATTTTTACAGCTGATCTAGGTATCACTATAGCAGAACCAACACTTGCAGTCAGGGCTAACCATTAAATTGCTATGCCCTTGTAGAGTTCACTTAGACTCTAGCATCTACTTCATAGCATAACCCTAGTACTTTAGTATATCCCTGCTTTTTGTTCAGCCTTTTTACCAAACTCACAATCCAGATAGCCCATGTAGGACTATGACCAGTCCATCAGTATATCAGATTGGCCTGATATTCTTTTCCTCCTGTTCGTTCTGATGGCCTGGTTGGTGATACCTCTGAGACTTTCAACCTGGAGGTTCTTGCCCATCTGGCTACTATGACCAGGTACTATGACCTTGGTATCCATTTCCCCAGGCTAGCCTTTACAGTAGAGCCATTGAAGATCCAGCCACCTCTCTACTCGGTCTTCCCAACTGAACTTCTTGTTACCCAATTTCAATGAATTTATACAGCCACAAGGACTTATTTAGTATTGCACTGCCTGATTTGTCAGTTTGTATTTCTCTGTGTAATGCTATACTTACACAGATGCCTATGACATGCCAGTCATGCTGGTGCGACTGCCATTACAGATATCCTAACCCAATCGTTAATAACAGTTGCTGTAATATGAATATTATATAGGTGATTATTCAAATTTTTGCTAGTGATGGGAATTAAGCTCTCAACTTACCACTTGGGGGGTTGACAACCTGACTACTTTACTAGGTTACCACACCCTCTGTAATAACAGTTATATAGAATTTAAATAACCTGTTAGGATAGTAGTTATAATATAAAAAAACAAACTAAAATAAATAAATAAAGAACATATTATATATTTTTATATATACTGTATAAGTTAGATTCAGGCTTCATAACTTAGTTGTTAGGTTTCTGTTCTCTTATAAACAAAATCAACAGTTTAAGTTTGATTAAAAATAAATATTTTATAACCAAAAATTAAATTTTATAATTAAATATAAAATCTTATAAAAGTTTAAGTGAAGATATATATTAGTTTTAATAAGTTTTTAGAAAAAAACTAATATAACAAAATGTAAATATTGTTATAGAAAAAAATATAAAAAATGATATTAATATTATAAAAAAAATTAATCTTATCTAATATAAAATTTCTCTGACATAAGAAATTCAAAATAAGTGTAATATAGTATTTATTTTTATTTAAGAGTAGGGTGTAACATTTTAAATTTATATATGAACTTGATGGTATATTTTTTTAGTAATCTAAATTACGAAACTTTTTATTAATTAAATATTTTTTGAGCTTATAAGTAAAGTTGTAGAGTAGGTTCTTGTGATTCTAACAATAATAAAATTATTAAAATCGGTTTAAAATTCATCAAAATATGAATTTTTAAAGATTAGATATAAAAATTTATTATTAAAACTCTCTTATAGGTTTTTGGAAATTAGCCAATTAAGGTTGACCCTTTTGTGTAACCAGGGAAAAACATAGAGTATCCAGAGAAAATTCAAAATATATA